CAATTAAATTTTTTGTTTATGATGTCTCTACTATTTTAGTTTACTTATTTTATTTACATACGGTATTTACCACTTACTAAGTAACTTAGCTATAAAACAGCATTTTGGTTGTTAATTAATATATATTTATTGTATATTTGGTTCTGAAGCCCATAACTGATTGGTATATATATATATATATATATATATATATATATATATATATATATATATATATATATATATATATATATATATATATATATATATATATATATGCTGCATTTATACTTCTTGTATTGAAGATGCATACCTAAAAATTTCAAATTTTGAATTCACTATATATTTTGTCGCTTTTCGGTCCGTAAATTGACCAATAAGTTCCCTGAAATAGACTCAGTCTTTAATATTTGAAATTATTTTGAAAGAAAAAATTATTTGTTATTAAGTTGAAATTCTGAAGAAATAATTTTGGTCCATAAAACCTACAGGAGGTATACATTTCAAAAAAATAAAACATTGTCACCCGAGAAGGCTTGGCTCATCTTATATGGAATGACCCTATGATATATGCTTATGATATATAAACTTTATACTATAATAGTATGATTATTGTAATATATTATATGATATTTTTATTATAAATTTTTTCTAGTAATTTAATATAAATTAGTGTAGTATTATTAAACTAATTAATTGTGCCAAATAATGTTGTTTAATGTTGTTTAATACTTGTGTAATAATGGTGTTTACCTCTTACCGTCTGACCTGTCTGTTTATTATTACTGTTTTTAACATTAATTTTGTATTGCAAATATTAAAAAATGTTAAATATACTATTTGTAAAATTAAAGTAGTATAAACTAATAATAACTGCTTTACTTATTTCTTCAACAGCTAATAGTTGAAAATTATAAAAGCTCTTGTTGTCAAATTTCTTGGGGAAAGAAAATTGTTCTTTCTTGTAATATTGCTGATATTTTAACTAATGGTAAGCATATTTTGTATTGCAATGGTTCACATTCTTTTTTCTTTTTTTTCCATTTAATGTAATAATAATAATTTTTTATTTTATGATTGTGGTAATTATTTTTTATTTATAAAATTTTAGTGTGATTCACTACATGAATACTTATGCCAAAGTTTACATAGTCCACAAGTTATCTTTAATAAAACAGAATATGATGTAAGGAGATGAAGAGGTGTCGAAATGGATGTTCAGCCCTTGATCAGTACATATAGTGGTTGTTTTGATGGTTGTTTACTATTTGCTAGATTTGACATATTCTTGTTTTGGGCGGCTTCAGAGATGTTAACAAGATATTTGAGACTTTTTGCAATTGGCTTTATTATCTAAAAAATGCATTTTTCTTCTGCAATCTTTTCAAAGCAATGCAAATTACTTTTGAATTTATAAATTTTAATAAGTTATTTTATTCAATTATTTTGTAAATAATTTATTCAATTATTTTGAGAATAATTTATTCAATTATTTTGTAAATAAATTTTATGATTATTATAAGTAGTATAATATAAATATATTGAAATATTGATATGAAACTGTACAATTTTTGTTTTCTTATTACAACTTTTTTCGACAAAAAAAACGTTTTTTTGTTAAGTACTTTGTGCGAATAGTCATGCAGAATTATGCGTTTCTTTAAAAAGATAATTTTCATTTTACATAACAGTAACATAACGGGTAATTACCCGTTATGTTAGATTTTCAACATAACGGTAACATAACGGGTAATTACCCGTTATATAACGGAAGCTTTCCTCGCACATAACGGTAAATTAGCGTTATGTAACCGTTATGTTTAAGGCAATTTTGCTATGACTAAACATAACGCTAAAACCGTTATGTTATTTTCATACATGTTAAGTATTAAACATAACGGCAATTACCCGTTATGTGCGAGGAAAACTCCCGTTATGTTTTTTAAAAATATAACGGGTATTTTATTTACTGTGTAGGTTTATGCTACGCCAAAATAAGTATCCATAGCAACCAAAAAAAAACAACACCTTTATAAGAAGCGCAGACCTTACACTGGTGCTTATGCCAAATTTAGTGTATATAGTACACAACAAATCTGCAACTACAAAAAGTAGATTGTTGCTATGCAAAAAAAAAGGTATCCATAGCAACTAAATAAAAAGTAACACCTTCATAAGAAGCTCTAACCTTATATTGGTACTCATGCCAAATATAGTGAATGTAGCATTAATATTAAATTAGTCATTAATTTTGTCTCAAAATTGGCCATTCTGGCCCACTGTGCAATAAAGCTAACCGTGTATAAGGCATTATGTATAGTACTTTCAGACACATGACTCCGCAACTACTTAAAATTTTATATACAGCCTTTGTACGACCTCATCTGGAATTTGTGGTAGCAGCCAGCAATCCATCATCAAGAATAAATATTGACAAAATCGAGAAAGTACAAAGAAGAGCTACCCGTTTAATACCTTCGTACCGTCATTTGTCATACAAAGATCTTCTGAATATACTAAACTTAACGTCTTTAGAAACCCGTCGCATTAGGGAAAATCTGATACAGGCCTGTAAAATTATTAACAATATAGACATTGTCTCATGGAGTGAACCCCATATCCTTCGTGTTGGGGAGTCAAATAAAATAAAAAATTGCAAGCAAAGGCACCAGTTTTTTACTAATCGAATAGTGAATCATTGGAATGCGTTGCCGTCAGAAGTTGTATGCGCTTCATCAGTTAACAGTTTCAAGGTTCAGCTTAATGCAGAAATTTCAAATAATCCGCACAAGTATCGAGATTATAGCTAAAAAACAATAATGGAAAAACAATAAAGTACAAACTTATACTTCGTAAATTTTTATATATTGATATGAATAAAATTAGTGTATGAAGTAGATAAGGTTGCCAAATCCTGTAGGTTATACAGGGAAACCGGTTGCAGCAGTTTTTCTACGACTACTCTATTACTAATTATTGCAGATTTTAAAACTAATTACAAAAATTTTCTTTATTACACCTATCCATCCAGTCGGAATCACGTAACTACTTGCAAAATCAAAAGTAGACATATTGAATTGGGGGAAAACAAACTAACTTTTCTTATAAGCCAAACAAAAACGTTATTTCGCAATAACTTTATGTCCTACAATTACTTTAAACGTTAATTGAAAGAAACAGCGAATAGATGTCTCCAAAAATATAAGTCTTTTTTTACTTCATTTTTACATACTTTTAGTATGTAATTTTAATTCTCTGTTTAAATAAAATGATGCCTTATATTGCTTTTTACATATTATTTTGGTTATTTTAAAGTATAAAAAGTACTGGTATTTTAATATTTATATACCAGTACAAAATTAAGATGCAAATTAAAAGTAACCCACCAGTAATAAAGAGTGCCAAACAAAAATAAACATTATAAGATTTTATAAAACCATTGCTTGCTACATGCACTATTATCTACAGCACCATTTATTGTATTCAACCACTTTCTTTTAATAACTTTACCTTTTGGAAGACTTAAGTTTTGATTTTTTAATTTTGTTAGTGAAACCAACTACACAACAACTTTTTTGGATTTTAAAAAAGAATAACTCTACAAACCGCAACTGATTTTTTAGTTTGTTTTCCCCCAATTCAAGATGGTTAATTTTAAAACAATACTTTTAATAAGGAATGGCATACGGAGTGATGTCACGTTGACTGGATGGATTGCAAACGAATGCGCTTATGGCAATTTTATGTGTTTCTAAAACAATCGAAACTAAATCTTCTTGAACCTTTTTAAAATTGGTATATATACAAGCGAAATTTACATAATTTCATTAGTTTATTTCATAATTTTGTTTTAACTCAAAATAAGAGATGAAGTTTGAGTAAGATTTTTTAATTTGTTTGTTTTAATTTTTAATTACAAAAATGAAAAAGCAACCAAAGGGCAACATTCTTCCATTTTGCGTTTGGCGTCATCCGGAGTACGAATAGCAAGACAAATAAGGACTGAACTTGAATAACCCGCGACTACAAGACATGTCCAACACATTTTTTTAAAATCAAGACGATTCCAAAAGAAAAGAATAATCACAAAAGAAAAAAAAAGTGCAAGATTTAAGTTTGCAAAGGACCACACGACATAGGATGCAGAATGGAAAAGTGCTATTTTTTCCAACAAAAAGTTTAATTAAGATCGGTCTGACGGTTTTAAGTATTATTGGCATGATTTGAAAAAAAGATAGCATAGCTATGAGTCATAACTTCGGAGGAGAGACAGTTATGGTGTGGGCCGCATTTTGTTTCCACGGCAAAATTGAAATATGTTATATTACAACAAAAGTGAATGCAAGACATTACGTAGATCTTTTAGAATATGTTTTAATAGAGTTTATGAAGGTTTACCTACTGAGAACTGGATTTTCCAACAAGATAATGCGACGATTCACACAACACAAAAAGTAAAAAAGTGGTTCCAGGAAAAAAAAAAAGTTTTATATTGGCCATCATGTTCACCTGACACAAACCCTATTGAAAATTTATGGGGAATATTGGCGCGATCTATATATGGAACTTCTCCACTCTATAATGCAATACAAGAACTTAAAACATCTATCCAACAAGCATGAAGCGGTATTTCAAAGGTTTGTTTAGAAAATCTTATAAAAAATATAAAAAACCGAATCTTCGAATTAATTAGCGTAAAAGGTGGTAGCACACATTATTAAAAACTATACAAATTAAAAAATTATCTAGAACGAATATTATAAAGGATTACCTTTGATGGAACTACAGAAAATTCGCCTGTTTTTTCAAAATATTTGTAACTTTTAAGTTTTACGAAATAAATTAATAATTATTTTCTCAAATTATTATTTGCATATTTGCTATTACTCGAAAATACTCGTGATTTTATTTATATGTACAAATTGTAGGTGGAACTATTAAAAATTGGCTGAGTGTATATGACCACGGTACACAAGAAAATGTAAACAAAGTTACGAAAAACAAAAAATCACGTGTTGACATAACATACTTTGAGACACTTTGATATTAAATGAGACTAACTTGTTGTCTCATGACATTATTGTGTTTTCTTTTAAAATGAAGTGGTTTAAAGACTTTAAGTTGCTATCATGGAAAAATTTTCTTCTTCAAAAACGTCGTCCTTTTTCCACTTTTTTTGAGATATTTCTTCCTTTATTTTTTATGGTAATTTTACTTGTTTTGCGAATTACAGTTATAAAGCAAAAGCAAGATCATGAATACAGATGGGATGCTTTTAGTATTACAAACCAAATTCCTGTTAATTCTCCTTCTGATGGCAGGTGGAAAATTGCTTATGCTCCTAATAATACCCAATACTTTTCAATTATGTCTAACTTTATGTCATATCTAGATGCTGGTATAGCTCCATTTCAAACTGAGAAAGATCTAATTGATGTAGTTGTTATTGATTTGGAAAAGGAAGTTTCAAATCAAACTTATTTATGTGGAGTTGTATTTGATGGAGCTTATAACGACAAAGAAATAAAATACAGACTCAGATTTCCTTCTGATCTGCGTAAACCATCTAATCCCCAAGCAATTAACCCTCAGACATGGTTTACTGAGTTAGTTTTTCCATCTACCTTTCAAGGTTTAGGCCCACGAACAAAAGATTCCTTATATGGTGGACCCCCTGATTATTTCAATGTTGGCTTCCTTTCAGTTCAAAGAGCGCTTGATTTAGCAATTATCAAAAACCAAAATAAGTCCTTTGACATTCAAAATATGAGCATTTCTATGCAGAGATTTCCTTATCCAAAAAAATTATTAGATCCTTTTATCGGTGTGATTCAAACAGTACTTCCTTTGCTTTTGATGTTGTCTCTTGTCTATACTGCTCTATCTAATGTTAAAAATGTTGTCTTCGAAAAAGAGCACAAATTAAAGGTAATACTTTTTTTTTCAAATTTTGTATTTTAATGTATTTGAATTAAAGTACATTGTATTTTTCATTTAACATTTAAATAAAAATTTAATTTATAAAAGAAATAACAGTGATAGTATGAAAATATATGATTAAGATAGTGGAATGGTATTTTTACTGTGCTTGTTTATTTTTTAACTAAATTATATAACAAAATTTATATTTATTTGAATGGTCTAAAGTTTTTATGTTATATTTTAAAAGGCATTTATATCGCAAATTAAAGAAAGTGTTATTATCAGATTTATTTTATTGATTTCTGTAATTCCTTTATAGTCATTAAAAAAACTCAATATCTAGTTTAAAATCAGCAGTCAATTAGAAATGAATGCCATCATTGATGAACTATGCTCATCACTATAGATGTCACCATTGAGTAAAATTTTGTACCATTAATAAATGTTTATGTAAAAATTACTTAAAAGTTATTTAAATGAACACTATTTCTGTGGGTTTATTTTTATACAATGAGTTAAAAAATTTGTTTTAAGTTTTTCTTAGGTCATTTTTTCTTTAAAGATAAATCAGAAATTCTAGTTTATTTAAAGATTAGATTAATGATTTTATGAAGATTAAAATTAAATGCATAAAGATTATATAAAGGTTATATAAAGATTAAATTAAAAAAAAAAATTAAGTTTATAATAATTATTTAAAGATTATATAAAGAATAAATTAAAAAAATTAAATCTATAAAGGTTTTATAAAGATTAAAAGATTACATAAAGAATATATAAAAATTAAATAAGAAAAAATTGAATATATAAAGATTATATAAAGATTATTAAGCAAAACGAAATCAAAAATAAACATATAACATTTGAATTGTATATAAAAAGATACATACACATTGATTTGTGTTTGTTCATTATTTTCTTTACAAAAATAGCTAATGAGTTATCAACCATGGTAAAGTTTCTAGAGGGCAAGAAAAAGTTATCTTAGTAAGGATTTTAACAAAGTAGAAAATTTTGGAGAAGAGAAATGCTTATTTTTTTGATTGGAGGATTGATCAAATCAAATAAGTGATAGAACTTGATGACTCAAATGTAAAATTTCAAACATCTTTGAAAAAAGAGAATTACTCTGTTTTTATAGAACCTGGAGTAAAATATTTATTTCACTTTACTTGAAAGCAACAAAAAGTATCAAACATGCAAAGATTATATGTTGAATGGTTGGCTGAGAGAGGTATTGATAAGTCTTTATTGGCTGTTAGTGGAGACTCTACAAATATAAACACTGGTTGGGAGGGTGGAGTCATAAAATATACAAAAGTAAATTATCTGGTGTTATTAGTAAATGGTCTGGTGTTATTAAGTCTATGCTTGATCTGATTACAGGTTTATATATAATCCATATATAAAGAGAATAGAAATTTGTTATTAATAAGATATTGAGGTACTCAAAACAAAGATCTACAAAAAAATGATTCTTTTCCTAGACCAAGAAAATATCCTGTTCTTAACTATAATACTGCAAAATTGGTAGACATGATATTATATGAGTCACTGGTTTATGAACCATTTCTAACTACCTCTCTAACAACTTTTGAAATCAATGTGTTTTTATCAAATCCTATGCAGGCATTAAATTGGCACTATCATGAACTATCTGTTGAACATTAGGTTAAGCAAGTTACAGAAGCTTTAAGAAGAAGAAGAGAAAGATTTGTCCAAACTCAACATGCGAGTAGAAAGTTAATGCCTAAAATTAACAGTAAACAAGGCCTTGAAAGTTTGACAAAAATATTTTTTGATTAAATTTATAATATTTATTAAAACAATTCGGTTTTTAAAGAAAATACATTGGTATCTTTCTAATATCAATACCAATAAAATTATTACACTATGTTAGGCCAAACCATATTTAAAATATGTTTAAAAGTGTTATGATATTTTTAGATTAATCTAAATCTAGTTTTAATTTAAAATTAACATGCATATTGAAATTTAAATTCTTTTAAGTCTAATTTTAAAATAAAAATAATTCTTTTAAATTTTATACAAGTTCTTAAAAAAATATATATATTCATATCAAAAGTAGTTTTAATCAACATTTATATCCCAACTGATATTTGTTCTGCAACTTTTAGCAACTACTCAATTTTTTTCTTAAAAAAATCTAAAATGGAAACATTAGTTATAAATGTTAAACAAATATTCTGTATCTTAAAGCTACTTGTTTACTCTTATACACTGCTATCTTGAGAATTAATTCATTTGATGAGAGGAGAATGATGTTACAATTGACTCACAATATCTCAATACTTAGTAATTATCTTTTATGTATCTCAAGCCTTTTCCTGGTCCCTTAGACATTATGTTCTCATTTGAGGTGAAACCCTCTCAAATCTCGAACTTTTTATTATATTAATATTTTTGCATGGAGCTAAAGAGGCGTGTCTTGACATCAAAAGAACCATACAAAGCTTGGAAGCCGCAGGTTACTGTCCCCTGGTTTAAACATTTAAATAATATAATGTAGAACCTTTACTTACATAAATATTTTTTGTTTGCAGAGCAGACTAAAACTTTGTAATTTGCAAATTTTGGCTCTTCTGTCTTAATAGGTTGCCGACCCCTGGTAAATACAATTTGTTAAACTTATTTTTCTTTACACTAAACTCTATTAAAAATAATAGGCTTTTACTGTGAAATTGAATTAGGTCTAAAGTTAAAATGAGGAGGATGGCACATTGAAGTGTTGTATTAATTTAAAATATATTTATAATTTAAAAGTGTAAGGTGTATACATTCTTGTGAACCCTTTATTTTTATTTGTTCGGAGTAAGTTTTTGTAGTTATAAACTGGAAATATATTATTAAGTAAATAGTTTAATAACTTTTTTCCTGTAAATTTTACTTTTTGTTCAAAGCATTTTTAATTTAAAAAAGCATTTTTAATTTTAAATGCTTCTCTCAATAGTTTACTTTTTATCTCTTTTTTGTTTTAGTTGTAAATTAGTCTATTCAAAATATTTTTTTGTTTATTTTTCCATTAAATTTTTTTTTGGGGGGAGGGGTTAATTAAATGTTGGCATAATTATTTAGGGAGTCTCTAGAAGTTTTATAAGTTGTTGAAAAGGGGGAGGGGGAGGTAAAAATTGCCAAAAAAACTGTTGACATAATTATTAAACAGCCCCTAAGTTGTTCTTGGAACATCATTACAAGTTGAATCCCAAAGATTACGCTTATATCTTTTCTGGTTAATTCGAACTCAATGCATCATTTTATTTAGACAGCTTTTGAACTATTTTTAAAATATTAAATGCATATAAAAATGGACAATGTTGTAAATGATATAAATGATGAACAACATTTATATTGCCAGTCAAACCTGTTGGCTAATAATGTAGTAATTAAAATAAAATTATAAAGTAAAAATAAAAGTATTTATACACTATTACATTATATACATATTTATACACTAGTACATTATATACATATTCTAATAATTGTGCAATTTAATAGTAAAGAAAAAACATCATAAATATTCCTACTAGATCTAGTTGCTAACAAAATCCTGACTTGGATGGTTATGTTAACAAAAAGACTAACACAACTTAACAGAAGTAAAATTGAATAAAATATTTATCATAAAATGAAGTTTTTTATAGTGTTTTAACTTCAAACATTTTTATGAAACTAAAGCCATTAGTTATCTAATCTTATCCACTACTTATCTAAGCTTAACTAATATACTAATTATATAATCTTATCTGATACACTGCTTATCTAAGCTTAAATAATACACTAATGTACATTAAAACTAAAATTAATACACTGGTTATCTAATGTACATTAAAACTAAAATCTTTGTTGTAAACCAAATAAACATTAAAAATCAAACTGATTCACTTGACATACTTGCTATACTATTGCATGTTACACAAAGTAAGCAAAGCTGTTGGCAATAGCTAGAACAAGTATATGCATAAATAATATATAATTAAATATTTAAATAATAAATAAATATATGCCTTTTATAATGCATCATAATATGATAATATCCAGAGACGTAAAGACAGTAAAGACCAAGACTAGGACAAAGACATTTTGATTCAATATCAAGATTAAGACCAAGACAGTTAAATGAGTCTTGAGATGTCTCAGGACCAATATTTAGGTCTTGAGACCAACATCTATAACAATATCATATTATGATGCATTATAAAATCCATACATTTATCATATTCTAGCTACTGCAAATATGTCTAGTTGTTAATATCTTTATGTTTAGTTGGAATCATATTAAATATGATGCATTACAAAAAAACATAATTTATAGTCTTATTAAATACAGTTGCGACGACATCTTTGAAAAGCGCATTTGTAAAACCTATGGCGCAATATGAGCTGTGAAAAAAAAATCATGGTTCACCTATGGAAATTCTATAGAATTTCAATTTTCTTGGAAATTCACCCATAAAAATTTCATGGAATTTTCGTTTTCCATGGGAAAACCATGGTTTACTCATAGAATTCCATGGGTTTTCCATGTAATACCCATGGAATTCCATAGAATATTTCCATAAGGTAACTTAAATATATATAACTTTGTAAATATATATATAACAGTTATAATCAAAAATGCAAAAAATGAAATTATATATATTTTAGATTTTAAGAATTGCAAATTGATCAGTTTTATCCTTAACTACGCTGAGTAGAGAAGGAATTCCCATACCTATTTTAATTGATTTTTTCTAAAACTCAAATTAAAAATAAACAAAAGTTTGGTTCTTAAGTAAAATCGAGCCACAAAACTCACTCCAGACCTTCCATATGAAGATAGACTATGGAAACTAAATTTAATTTAAATTTAACAACTTTAGAAAATTGCTGAATTAGGGAGGATTTGATATACCAATATAAAATATCATATGGCTTTTAAATTGAGCATTGGTTAAAAAATCCTAAATTGGTTTCTTCACTAACAAGTGACGGTCCTTCATCAAACA